AGTGTAATATTAAATTTTAAATTTTTTACGTTACAAAAATATTTAAAAAATGTGAAAAATGTTTAAATAAAAAAAAAAAAAAAAAAAAAAAAATCATATATCTGATAAATTTGTTAGGGGCAATTTTTTTATATAGTCCATGCGTGCTATTTTATTTAATGAAAACTCGTTAACGAATTTTTCAATGAGCTTTTKTTTTKTTTTCGATCTCAGTGTAGTAATATGACTTCAAGCTTTAATTTGCATTTTAGATTGTATAAGTATTGGTTTTTCAATATTATCAATATATCCTATATTTTCGGTGTTCCGTTTTATAAATTTTAAATTTAAAAAATATGATACATAAGAATTGTGTATAATACATAACAACATCGTTAAGAAGAGCGTAATAACTTCGCGTAATTATTATGTAAGCTGTTTTAGAAGATAGGCGTTAATATTGTCCAATAATTATTGCAGAATACAATTATACAATAATTAATGTTTGTATATTTTTTTTCGACGGGAGCCGTTTGAAAATTACCTTGTTCGTGAAACATTTTTTGATGGGAGCCGTTTGGGATTCAACGGTAGGATTATGGTTTTTCAAATATTATAATATTTGAAAAACTTCGATCGCCCGCAATGAGTTTTCGACACGTACTTCCCAAAAATGTCAAACCCACATTGCATAATTTTATGGTTTACAGGCATACAATTAGCCGATGAACTAGGATTCAAGGAATCGCTTTCGACTTTGGAACAAAATAGTAAACGTCGTTCAGTCAATGGATTTCCAGTGCCAGGATCGTTTGAACCTCTGCAGTCCTTACCGCAAAAGAACAATCAAGCAGTAAGTATACCTATAATATAAAGCACAATACGCACATTTGTCATAGGTATAATGTATCATCATATTTCTAGGCACATTATAAGTTGGATAATATTTTACCTAACTAACGGTTGTGGTCAGGAAACGTAGACATAGATTTACGCATACGATAATAATATACCCATGTCGTATACGCGTCGCGATCATTCGCCAAATCCATTGTCACTTTTTATTTTTATTCCCTAATACTTTACATAATATAGTCTCGTCCGATATTCCAGTCACGGTGCTATGAAGTTCCGGTATGTCTTAAATTATTCAGTTGACACGGGCTATGAAAAAATACGACTACCTTAGTGCCTGTTCTATATACCATTGCAGGTTACTGTCGAGGTACACGGAAATACRGAAACACTGTTTCCAATCGATATTTAACATAATAAATTATTCGACACGTTTTACAATATTTTCACCGTGATTTAGTTGTATTATACTTTTTCAATGTGAYGTTAATTTTTAATCCTTGAGAAAAAAAGCCCTGATTATATTGTATGGCGATAAATGGCTATGTCGTTTGGTTTTCAAATGTTGTTTTAAAAAAAAAAATTATTCACACAGGAAAAAAATTTCTATATCTACCTATAGCAATTTTCCATTGTGAAAATTTAAGACTCAATCAATACTTTCTTGGACTCTGGTTACCTATAAATTGGCGTGTGTTTATTTATTTTATTTTTATGGTCTGTCAGTAGGACTATTAAAAATACTTTAGTCTTAAACATTAAGGGTAGTTTCTGGTAGAAAATTGGATCTATAGTTGTTGTGGAGTGTTAAACAATGCTCTTATTCTCTAATATACAGCAGAGCGACTTCCCCAGTTATTTTATAATAACTTTCTATGAATAACAAAAATATCTAATATCCTAGGATTTTCATAATGTAATTTATTAAAACCAATGTTTTAATAATATAGAATATATTTTAATAAAATAATATTTTGATTTTTCAACTTTAAGTTTTTAAACATTTTTTTTTWAAAACCAAAACAGTTATTGTTGTTTCTTTAATTTCATTGTGAATTTTTAAAATTTTGTCGATATATACTTAAGGCTTACCTACGCATATGAATTAAATTGAAATATTTGTGGAAAAAGTTGAAAAATTATATGTAAATCATGATGCATATGACTATTGTAGGTTAAATATTGTAATGATACATCAGCTAATCCGTGAGAAATTTCTTGTGCCAAAATTGAATTTAATGTATAGAATAATATGGAAATAGTTAGAGTTGTATTGGAAGTACACTTGGTGAGCCCTCTTACGTCTTTAACTCCAAAAAAATTGAATTATCATATAGATAATAAATACTTACAATGTAGTTCACAACTCTCATTTTATAAACTTAATCAGATTATTCTCAATTATTAAAAATCAATTTAATATTTTCTATAATTTTATAATTATTCATGATATCAAACTGAGAACATTTTGATTTTAAAATTATTACCTATTAAAATGTTAGTTAACTTTTTTGACTGTTTTGAATGCGTTAAAAATACATATTTTAGGCATAACGATAGGCTTTTGATTTCAATAGTCCTCGTGACCGTGCCCCCTACACTCTCTCATAATCCGTGATTGCATACTCGTAATTAACCAACGGACAGATACAACGGTGATATATCCAAACTAACGTTTAGAAAGGAAACTAAAATGAACAAAGTTATTAATTATCTACAGCATAACCTAAATAATACTTAATACCACAAAACAGCTTTTGACATATCAATATAAACATTAAACACCTGTGCAACTAGGTATTATTATGAGCACATCACTAGGAAAACCAAACATATTTGAAAGTTAGTAATTATTTTGCTTGATTTTGATCTTTTCCATTATTGTTTAATATTTCTTAAACATACTAAAAATTTATCATTTTTTTTAGTCATGTATGTATTTGTAATTATCATCAGTGCTTGACTATAAATATAGCGTAGTTTTTYTACCTCGATAATTACCTATAATTAATTTATTGTTACGAGTAGGATCTGACTCATCTGTTATTTTTTTATTGGTAATAATTACTAAATAAAGTCATCTTATAATATTTAACAAAAATATGCTCCGTGTTATTACAAAAATTATATAACATTTACCATTTAAGTCGATATTATTTATACTCTATTGAATGAAGAACGAATTAAGTAGACTATTTTGTTTTGTTTATTAAATATACTGTATATTGCACCTATACAAACGCCTTATAAACTAAAGTGGTGTGAATATACTAGTACTATACATTTCAAGTACCTATCAGACATCAGTACTTTTAAAAATGAGTGTATTATACTATCTAAATAAGATAATATTGTGTCACTTTCAAGGGAATATCCATTATGATGATTTAATATAATTCATTTATATTTATGACAAACACACACAGCTCACATGATTTTTAAAAAAACCCGATCTCGACATGAATCATGAAATATAAATACTTTCTATTTTACAGTATGGTTTAAACTATCACTAGTTATTCCCAAAAGTTGTTACTTTAAAAAAATTACTATTTCTACAATATATTAATATTATGAGATTTCACTGCAAAGCAACATTTTGAACAAATTAAGGTATTTTCAATAATTTTTTATCATTATTTCTTAAGGAGAACCATATTATAACCAAAATTAAATCTAAAAAACGAATATCCAACACGTGCCGTCCAYGGATCATGGTCATATTTTCTGAGAATTTCATATCGATCCTATAATCGAATCTCTTACATCATATTCCAAATCCGTTTGATATGTTAGGAAAAATTGAGAAATACCCAAATGTAATGCAAATATTTTTGATTTTATTSTATGAAACACACTAGTTTCCCACATATACAAAAATATCAGTWTATAATTTTAATTTTGTATAATATGTGTGTGTTTAYTTTTTTGCTGTGCAATACAGACCAAATTCTGCCACATAAACGCATGTGACTCCGAGCATATAATGTTATGGCAATACTTGTAGGAATAGGTTCGTTTAAAATGTGTAAGGTAAAATAACGTACAAACTTGACTAAGTACAACAATTTGTGTACGTTAAAAATTTCACCATTTCTAATTATAATTATAAGATAGCATCAGAATATCATTCAGTGTAGTTAGAAACACATACTTTGTACGTAAAGAGAAAAAAATCTTTGTAAAWTAATGATATTCATAAAAATAAAATAAATTGATTTAGTTCCACTAAACTATGTGATACACTTGATATTTGTTATAAACTAAACTGYTCAAAAAAAATATCSCTATTATTATGTATTAATTATACAAATATTTATTTTCTTAATTAATGAAATTTTATTTAATAAATTCAAAAATGTCTTAAAAAATACAATGTTACACGCTATTCCATTCAATAGTAGTTACACGTCATATTTTTTTGTTTTTATAAATTTTATGATATGATACAAGTATAAAAAATACAAAATATATTGTGACTTTTTGATTTAATACTTCAATTAAAAAATTAATATGCACAAATGCACAAATGCACAAATGCACAAATGCACAATAAACTACCAAATATTGATAACTGTTTACTTAATTAAATTATAAACGTCAAAATAAATCACTGCTGAATTATCATTACGCTTACAATTTCACACGATGACCGAACGTATTCGACATGAAAAAATAAAAATGAAATTTGCAATCAGTGATTGTTTATTCCAGACACGACGTCTAGAATAATTTTATATTTTTTTAAATTTAAATTTAAACTTCCACAAAATCCSGGACTGGTAACAGGTGATGACACTGACGGTGATTAACATTGTGGAAAAAATACCGTTAAAAATGTCTGTGGTGCCTTTGCGTGTATATTTGTAYAATTAAAACACGGATATGTCGTTAAAAAAGCCCTTCTCTTTTTTATAACCTCGCCCATGCGTGTACGTGATAATTACTTTTTTACTTCATTATAATATTATAAAAATTTAAAATTGTAACACAAAAGTGGTTTTTTTTCCCCGCAGACGACCGCTACAGAAAACAATGACAACCAAGACAGATCGGCTTACGCCAAGATGAACGGTAGGACTGCTGTTGGCGTCGTCACGGTGCCGCCTTTCCGGCCTCTGATGGCCGCGGCCAACAACATGGTGCGCAATGTCAGATTGGCTGCACAACAGCAACAGCAGCAACAATACCAACAACAACAACAAAAACAGCAACAAAAACAACAGCAACAGCAACTGTTGAAGCCACTTCCCGTGCCAGCATTTGCCGCCCTACCCGAGTCCATAGCCAAAGTCGCAGTGGAGCCTGCGCAACCTTCGTCGTTCGCCAGTGGTCATCGGCAATTACCGACGGCTTCCGTAGTGACGCCAATGGTT